GAAACCAAGATGGCGATATAGGTAAGCACCTAAACTGCTGCCTTGTACAACAATTTCAAAACTACAACTAAAAGACAGAATGGACTTCATCCAGAACCACAGGAAAGCTGGTTGAGTGGAAATTTTACAACTAGAAGGGAAGAAAAAAGCTCACGGAGAATCAGAGGAGCTGCAAAGAGCTGAGGTACAGAGACACGTGCACAGAGAGTAAGGGTGGCTGAGTGCCTGGCTGACTTTCTCTGGCAGGAGGGAGAAGGAAGCCCCCGACTGCCCTGAATCCCAGTTCTGGGAAAAACCCCGTTGGCCAGCTCATATGGGGGGAGTCTGGACTGTCAGGTAGGAAGAAAGGCACACGAAGACTCGGAGACTCAGGGAAGCTGCGGCGGGCAGGGGTCTGGAGGTGCGCGCACAGAAGACTGACTGCAGAGGTTGTTGCTGGCTTGCCCTAGCAAAAGGGAGTTGGAAGCTCCTGACTGCACTGAACTCCAGTTCCAGGTGAGCCTCTGGGAACCCACACTCTTACGGGGGGTATCAATGTCTGGTGGAAACTCAGGGGAGCTGTGAAAGGCAGAGGTCTGGAGGCTCACGCACAAGGGCAGGGCTGACGAAAGCCAAGACTATCTGCTTAGCCCTTAGACTTCACCTCATTCGAGCTGAGCACAGAGGCTTTTGCAATTTTGCAAGTCTTGACTCAAAGTAGACATAGCTGATACTCACAGCCAATTGGCCTGGAGGTCAGTTCCTCCCAGTGATATCAACAATATCAAGACTTAACTATGACAAGGCGGTACACCAAGTCCACAAAGAGGTGCACCAAGAGTGTACACCTCAGGTAACTGGGGAGGCCAACCCACTGGGCCATAGGATACCAAACACACAAAGCTACCCTACCAACTCAGGGAAGCAGTGAAAATGTAAAGACAAAGAAACAGATCACAAACGAAAGAAATGGAGGAAAACAAATAACTGGATATAGAATTCTGAACCATGGTTATAAAGTTTTTCAAGAATTTCCTAGAAAAGGCTGATAAATTTAGCGAGACTCTTGAGAATATGAAAAAGGACCACTAGAAATTAAACATACACTGACTGAAATAAAAAATATTATACAGAGACCCAACAGCAGACTAGAAGAATGTAAGAATCAAGTCAAAGATTTGAATTACAAAGAAACAAAAAACACTCAATCAGAAAAGCAAAAAGCAAAAAGAATAAAAAAGTTGAAGACAGTGTAAGAGGCCTCTCAGACAACTTCAAGTGTAGCAACATCAGAATTATGGGGGTGCCAGAAGAAGAGAGAGAGCAAGATACTGAAAACCTATTTGGAGAAATAATGACAGAAATCTTACCCCACCTGGTGAAAGAAATAGACTTACAAGTCTAGGAAGCACACAGAACCCCAAACAAAAGGAATCCAAAGAGGAACACACCAAGACACATCATAATTAAAATGCCAAGAGCAAAAGACAGAGAGAGAATATTAAAAGCAGCAAGAGAGAAACAGTTAACTACCTACAAGGGAGCACCCATACGATTGTCAGCTGATTTCTCAACAGAAACTATGTAGGCCAGACAGGAGTGGCAAGAAATATTCAAAGTGATGAATAGCAAGAACCTACAACTAAGATTACTCTACCCAGCAAAGCTCATTCAGAATGGAACGTCAGATAAAGAGCTTCATAGATAAGAAAAAGCTAAAGGAGTTCATCACCACCAAACCAGTATTATATAAAATGCTAAAAGGTATTCTTTAACAAGAGGAAGAAGAAAAAAGTAAAGATAAAAATTATGAACAACAAATACATATCTATCAACAAGTGAACCTAAAAATAAAGTAAATTAAAAATCTGAGGAACAGAATAAACTGGTGAATATAATAGAATCAGAGGCATAGAAAGAGAGTGGACTGATAATTCTCAGGGGGAAAGGGATATGGGGGTGCAGGAAGAGACTAGACAAAAATCGTTCTCCTATATGGATGAGGACAGTGGTGGGGGGGTAAGGGCAGAGAATGGGGTGGGAACCGGATGGAGGGGAGCTATAGGGAGAAAAAGAAGAAACAATTGTAATAATCTGAACAATAAATATTTATTAAATTAAAAAAAATAAAAGTAAAAGAACAGGGATAACCTAGTTTCTGATTACCACAATGTCCAAATGAGCTACTTAATGCACATAAAATTCTCTGTGAGTGCATCTGACTTACAGTGAGCTCTGTATGTCATGGCCACCATCTTCAATTAGCTGTCCTTTTCAGACCTGTCATTGGCTTTGGACAAGAATACATGTAGTAGCCTCTAGAGGTGGCCAATTAGGTGTGGCAACCAAGAAGCTGTTAATCAGATCCTGTGCGTGAGATACCCAATGGGGTGGGTAGCTGGCCTCAGGAGGCATACCAGGCTTGCATTGCCCTCCACAGCTTTAGCCTGGCAAATGGGCACCTGAGGTACAATCACAGGAAGCACTTCCCGTGGCCACAAATCTAGAGTGAGGGTTCTCATGAACTGAAAGCCCAGAGCCAGCATCCTGAGTACCATCACCAGGACTCACATAATCCTTGATTAGGATGGCTGCTTGGCTGTGAATACTGACAATTACAGCTTCTCATCCCATTCCCCAATCTCTTTACCATACACTAAACAGAAAAAGAACATCATTCACTATCTTTCAAAACTCCTGCCCTGGAAAGCTCCATAATCAAATATCATTCTTCCCCTGTATGCCCTCATCCTTCGTGAGTCCAGGTGCCTGGGGCTCCTGGACAAGCCATTCTCATTAACAAATGAGTGGAACCTCTAGATCCTCCAATTAGTCTCCCAGGTTGGCTAAGGCTGTGAGCTGCCCTGGACAAGGCCTCACAGCAGGGTATGCAATGCCTTTCCCATCTGGAGACACCCCTTTTCCATCTAGGCAACTCTCCCGCAGAATTCCTTGCTGCCCTGAGTGCACCTTTCTTTCTTCTGCAGCTAACAAGTTCCTATTAATCCTTCAGAGTCCATCTCAGATAGCCTAAACTCCCCTGGGAGAGGAGTTGGGAGACTGGGTGAAAAAAAGTGAAGTGATTGAGAAGTATAGATTGGCAACCATTCAGAGGTAAAGTACAACACAGGAAATATCTATAATAATAAAATCATAATATGCTAATTAGGCAGGACAGCTGAACAACCTTCCAGACATCCTTCCGGACAGCCTTCTGGACAAAGCTGAGGCTGTGAGGGCCAAGGCAGCCAACAAGGCGGAAGGTCCGAGTCCCTTGCATGAATTTCGTGCATAGGGTCAATAATATTGTAATAACTATGTATGGTACCAGATGGAAATATCAGGGGGAACACTCAGTTAAGTATGTAATTGTCTAACCATTATGCTGTATACCTGAAGTTAATACAAAAATAATACTGACTATAAACTGTAATTGAAAAAAACAAACAAAACAGCAACTCATCCCATGTTCCCACAGTTCTTTGCACCAACACCATCAAGGCCTGCATCCCAACACTGTATAAGCCACCAGTCTGTGTCTCCATCCCCATGAGACAGCACCCTGTCCCTCATGAACCTATGCCCAGCAAGCATAGGCATCCTGAGTACTCAAGGGAGTCTGTGAGATGTTGCCTTTAAGTGTCCCTCCTGTGGGTGCTGCCCTGCACCTCTCCTTGCGTTCCTCCCACCCCAGGAGGGACAAAACAGCTCACAATCTGGGCAGCAGGTGGCCATTTCCCAATGAGGCCTCATAGAGGTCTGTCCACCTAACCTTTATTTTTTTTAAATATATTTTTATTGATTTCATAGAGGAAAGGAGGAGAGACAGAAACATCAATGATGAGAGAATATCATTGATCGGCTGCCTCCTGCACGCCCCCCACTTGGGATCAAGCCTGCAACCTAGTCATGTGCCCCTGACAGGAATCGAACCCAAGATCCTTCAATCCACAGGCCAACACTCTAACCACTGAACCGAACCAGCTGGGCTGTCCACCTAACCTTTTTTTTTCTATGTGCCTCAGGCATGAACCAGCTCTGGCCACTGACACAGGCATCAAGCTAGGATAAACTAAGGACTGTACGTCTGCTTTGCCCCTGACTGACATAAGACCAACACCACCAATCAGGTGTCTCCTTGTCCATTGCCAGCTGGTTGTCCACCTAACCTTTAAAACCACAGGACTCCCCTCTCTCTTTCCTCCTTCTCTTCCAGAACAGTTACTTCCAGTGGAGTCCTAGGCCACAAGATGGCATAGCCTTAGGTCCAGGTGTGTCCTCTCCAAGTTAGAGCCTGCCATGTACCTCAGATGAGTGGAGATGGAATGTGGAAAAACCACTCCTTCTGCAGCTCCTTCAAACTCCCTTCTATTATAGAAAGAGGCCAGCTGAGAGGCCACTGAATGAGGCTTGAGCTAACAGATATGACTTGGCAGGAAGACCAGGCAGGATGGGTTGGTAAGCCTAGTGGTGGAATGAGGCAGTTGAATGAAAAGGTGGGGGCACTCTATGTTGGGTCCCCATCCTACTCCTCAACCCCTTCCAGGCCCATCAGATGAAGGCCAATCCAATCCCAGAAGGCACAGGCCCAAACCCAAAGCCAACTCTATAGAGGTCTTAACTGTGCTCCTCAAGCTGGTCCCTCTCCGTCCTACCACTAGCCCAGCACTGGCTGCACATTCCTGCTGGTGGGTGAATGAATAAATAACACCCTGCCACTGCAACCTCTTGGTTACTGATGATTTCAGAGCTCTCCCAGAGTCTCCTGCGTCATTCAAACTGTTTTCTACCACCAGCCAGTATTTGTACACAATTTCTAATAGTTCTAAGGCAGGCACTCTGACCTCACTGAGGCAGGTGTTGGGGAAAGTGCTATAGACCAGAGTCCAAGGTCTGCGTCTAGATTTGGGTTCCAGATCTGGGGCCCACCCATCCATTCTCGTTGGCTTTCTCTTTTCTGGGGTGGTACCCAGTGGCCTCCAATCTAACCTACACGCGGCGGAGTGTCTGGAAGTCCTCACCCAATCTCCACTCTGCTCCCCCTGCATTGTGGCTGGCTGAGGCCCCACAGACTACTGCCAAACCGAGGTTCACGCGGGGCGGAGAGGACAAAACCTCTCCCAACCCCCAAAGGCCGGGGCTTCTCGGCAAAGGGACTGAACCATGGAGCCGCGCGGGCCTCCGCTGCGAGCCTCCCGGCGACGTCGGGGCCACGGGACCGAGTCGGGAGACCAGACCAGGGCGGCCCCACGCCGGCGGGAAGGACCGCGGTGCGCCCCGGGCCCCTCGCCTTCCGTTCCCACCCCGGGGTGCTGGCGGTCAGGGGCCACCCCGGAGGGCGGGCCGGCGGCGCACACCCCGTCCCCACGCAGGGCCCCGTGAGCCTGGAGCTCCTCGCAGATCCCTAGGAGGGACCGGAGCCGAAAGCCGGGACCTGGCGGCTACTCACCCCCACCGCTGCCGGAGGCTGAGAGAGGCAGCGGGGCGGGCACGGAACCGTGGAGGAGGCGCCGCCGCCGACTTCCTCCGTCTGGGCGGCCCCCGCGCCCCGCGAGGGCTCCCCCCGCCCCCATCTCCCGGCCTCGCCCCGCCTCTCTCGGCCCCGCCCCGCCCCCCGCCAGGCCCGCCCCGCCTCCCCGGCCCCGCCCCGCGCCTGGCCGCGCGGGCCCTGAGGTTGGGGCTCCTGGAGCCCTGCAAGGCCTGGGAGATCAGCCGATATTCAGAGGAGGGGGTCCTTGCCAAGGGAGCCCTATGGGAAGGTTGACCAATTACTCAGGCGACGCAGGGATAATTCGCAGTGTTTCTCGCGTGGAACTGCTTTCAGAACCCCCGGGACTGGTTCTGAAGAAGCCTCAGGGGTGCCCAGTGCCCCGGACGCAAAGATGGAGTCAAAGCCCCCTCACCAGGCCCCATGCTCAGATGGCCCCAGTATGACCGTCTGGCCGCCCCAAACCAGAATCACTTGAGGCCCCAAGAAACAGAAACAAACAGAAAAGTGAATTTCTAGAAAGGATGAGGAAGCAAATAGGACCAAGGAAGTTGCTCTACCGGAACAGAAGAATAGAAACTGAACTTTAAAAAAAAAAAAAAGAAGAGAAAGACTGAAAGGACTATACCCAAAAATCATCACATGGTTACATTAAAATAATAGAAATCACAATCGGTTTTCTAATTTCTACTTAATTTTGTATTTTCCAATTGTGAGAGTGAACCAGTGATCTTTTCTGTCAAAGAAAGGAGCTCCCCACTATCATAGGTTCTGCCATTTTGATTTGACCTTCAGAGTCTCAGGGGGCTGCCATTTTAGGCTCCAGCTTACCCACCCCCTCCTCTGAATTAGCCAATTGCACAATAATGGAATCCAAGCTCTGAGCTCTGACCAATCAAGTCAGAGTAAAGGGCAGGGCAGACCAGTCAGGGAATAAAATCCCAAGAGACTTACCCTTGGTGTACTTTGCCCATGATTTTCAGCCTGCAACCTAGCCCTTCTAAAGAAGTATCTGTCTTGCCCATGCACTTTTGAGTGTTTGTCTTGTGAAGGAAAAGAGCCACATGCTAACCTGACAAGCTCAGGGGAGGCCTGCATGGCAGTCTTGCAAACTCAGAGACCTAGAATAACCACAAAAGATGGTTTGAAAATCAAATATCTAACTACAAACAGGTTACAATGGGTAGTCATGTCCTAGACCGATATTTCACCTGACAAAGATCAACTAAGATGTTCTTTACTGAGCCCATTTGCCTTCCTGCCTCTAAGATAACATATCTATGAGATGTCTGGGTAACTTCCGTTTTTCTGGAGCCCCTGGGCACAACCAAATGTGGTGGGCACCAGGACAGATACCTCAAATTCCTTCTTTATCATGTTAATTGTTCCTGCACTCACCTAAGTACAAGTCTATCATTTTTTTAAATATATATTTTATTGTTATTTTACAGAGAGGAAGAGAGAGGGATAGAGTTAGAAACATCGATCAGCTGCCTCTTGCACACCCACTACTGGGGATTTGCCTGCAACCAAGGTACATGCCCTTGACTGGAATCGAACCCTTGAGTCCATAGATCGATGTTCTATCCACTGAGCCAAATCGGTTTTACTTTTTATCCAATCCTAGAGGTTTCCCACCGCTTTGCTTTCTTCCACCTCCTTAATCCATCACCAATGGATTTCATGTAACCCACCTATATCCTTCCTTTGATTGCAATGTATAAATAGAAATGTAACCCGCCATTCTTTGGAGCATTATCTTAATCCATTGAGGTTCTGCTTCCTGGCATATGTTGACAGTTTGGCTCAAATAAACTCATTAAAATTCTTTACAGGTATCAATGTTTTTTTTTTTCTTTTTTTAAAATTTTTTTAAACATTTATTTATTTATTTTTACATATTTTATTGATTTCCCCCCCCTCCCACAAATCCCCTCCCTCCCCAGAGTTTTATGTCCATTGGTTGTACTTATATGCATGGATACAAGTCCTTCAGTTGATCTATTATCTCCCCCAGATCCTCCTCCCCTCCCCGCTGAAATTTGACAATCTGCTTGTTGCTTTACTGTCTCTGTATCTATCGAATATCTTTTGGTTCATCAATTTATAATGATCTTTATTATCCACAAATGAGTGAGGTCATGTGGTGTTTCTCTTTCATTGATTGGCTTATTTCACTCAGCATGATGTTCTCCAATTCCATCCAGGTTGCTGCAAATGATGAGAATTCCTTCTTTTTTATGGCAGTATAGTATTCCATTGTGTAGATGTACCATAGTTTTTGGATCCAATCATCTGCTGACGGGCACCTAGGCTGTTTCCAAATCCTAGCTATTGTTGATTGTGCTGCTATGAACATAGGGGTGCATATATCCTTTCTGATTGGTGTTTCTAGCTTCTTGGGATATAATCCTAGGAGTGGGATTACTGGGTCAAATGGGAGTTCCATTTTCAGTTTTTTGAGGAAACTCCATACTGTTTCCCCAGCCTTCAACTCTTGAGCCTGATGGGAGTAGGCAGTACACTCTCCCCAAGCTGGATGCACAAGGTGGGCAGGCTGCTGGGATGCTCCCAGACTGAAGAGACCAACTCTCCCATTCTGTCACCCAGGCTCTGGTGGGCTGGACTCTATTTAGTGTCACCTGATAACTCCTGCTCATTGAGTACTGGGAGCATCTACCTCTGATCTTATGTTGGAGGTGGGTGAAGAGCTTAATCTTAAATCAAGTGGACATACTGGTGGAGAGGGACTGTCATCTGCCTGGGAAGAAAGCTTGGGAAAGAAGATGATTTTTCTGCCTGACATTTTCCAGGCAAGATATATAGATGCACACCTCGTTTTATTGTGCTTTGCTTTATTGTGCCTCACAGGTGCAGCATGTATTTTTTTTGTTTAAACATATTTTTATTGATTTCATAGAGGAAAGGAGATGGAGAGATAGAAATATCAATAATGAGAGAGAGCCTGTGGCTTAGTGGTTGAGTGTTGACCTATGAACCAGGAGGTCAGGTTCGATTCCCAGTCAGAGCACATGCCTGGATTGTGGGCTTGATCCCCAGTGTGGGGTGTGCAGAAGACAACCAATCAATGATTCTTTCTTGTCATTTATGTCTCTATCCCTCTATCCCTCTCTGAAATAAATAAAAAAATTTAAAAAAAGATTAGAGAGAATCATGTGCACTGACCGGGAATCAAATCATGACCTCCTGGTTCATAGCTCAAGGTTCAACCACTGAGCCACATGGGCTGGTCCAGGTGTAGCATATTTTACAAATTGAAAGCAAGACCAGCAAAAAGATTACCACTTGCTTTATTGTGATACTGGCTTTATTACTTATTACAGTAGTCTGGAACCAAATCTTCAACTATCTCCAAGTTCTGCATGTATAATGTTAAGGGAAAGAGAGGAATGAGAATCTTACTACGCAGCAGTGGCCCTCTTCCAACCCAAACAAACCAACAAACAAACCAACTGAGTAGGAGAGGAGAAGTGGAGGGAACATGGCTCTCACTCCCTTTTCCAGGAACATGCCCTGCTGGGGACCAACTGGGTGGTCCCATCACTGGCCTGGATGGGCAGGTGGTCCTGGTGCTGGTGCCTCAAGGAGGGAAGGCCCCTTTCAGCTCTCAATTTAATGGCACATCCCAGCACTGCTGAGGGTGTGAATTTGCTTATTGAGAGGACAAATTATCCTCTTCCACACAGAAGAAAAAAATAATACTAACTTTATTTTGATTGTTGCCACATGAGTGGGAACAGCTGGAGTGTAACTGTTATGCACCCCATCACATACAACTGAAGAAGGTACTTTCTATTTGGTTCCCTTTTTGTTTTGCTCCAATGACTCAAAATCATGAAGAATCGGCAGTGCTTTCCACATATACAGGCATAAACTTATTTATATGTAACTACTGCCAAGTCATCACAAAGGGGCATTCCCCTTTACCAGAAAATTTGTCTTTCTCGATGCTTCTAAGTATCTTCCCATAGAACTTGGAAGGCCCCTGGGGCTGCTTTCACATTTGTCAGGAACAGAGGCTGAGGCCTTTCCGAGCTGATTCCTTTGGAGAAACACCTGGGACCACCAATCCTCAGGAGCTGAGGCTCTGGGCTCCTTCTCTAGGCAGCAGATGAAGCAGCAGGGAAGACAGGCATATCCTTGAACTGAGAGCTCATCTACAATATTTCCAGGAAGGCAACATGTGCCCATGCAGACCCAGTACTTCCCATCCTCAGGCACACACCCAGCAGCAGCCCATCTGAATGTTCTGGGAATATTGCCTGTCTATAGCAATCCATTTCTAGTAAGTTAAGTTCCTAAAACAGATCAGCCCAGCATTTAAAATAATTAAAAATAATGCCTAACTCTGTTGACTCACCAGATCTGAGATGATTTGGGGCAGCTGGGAGCCAGCCCCTAGAGATCCATCCCCTTAGCCCTCCTCAGGTTTCTTACCCCTCCTCAAGGTGAACCTTAGTTACCTTCAGAAAGATGTCTGTGCCCTGGTTCAAGAATCTGAAACCTTAATGCACTGACCTCCCCCGATCCTATGGGCTGGTTACCAGGTGAGACAGGGAGAGAGGCATTGACCAACTATGTGCCTAAGGCTATGTCTGCAGTTGGGAAGAGACAGGGACAAGTTTCATGTCTCACACCCCTACTGCCCTCTCACATGTGGATAGACACCAGCAATCTTGCCCTCATTTCTGCGTGAGTGGGCACTATGTGGGCCTCTTCTCATGGGCCTGGGCTATCTGCCTACCCTGGAGAACAGTCAATACAGCTGTAGCCTTCCAGGTCCAGGCTGTTGAAGGTGGCAGAAAATTCCTCAACTTGGATCTTGCCTATCTCTGGGGCCTGGGCCACTACCACAGTTGCCCCACTTGGGGCCAAAGGCTGCAATCCAGCCTACTTTAGAACTAAAAAGAAGCACACTTTGGTTTAGAAAGACCATGCTGGGTGTGAAAATGTATGTGTGCATATGTATGCATCACAGGACTCTGTCTCTCCTTCCTTGTTTGTCTTGGTAACAGGTGGCTTCTCAGGCAGAGGCAGCCAGCACACATGGCCTACCCACATAAGCTGAGACTCCAACTTTCTCATATAAGCCCCAGTTGCATCAAGATCATAGACCAAGGGACACAAAGAGTGAGGCTGTCACAAAATGCAACCTACTTGACCCCCAAGTTCTCTACTGATGATCCCTCTGTGACTGTACCTGTCTTAGGTTGTTCCTTCCCTGAGGAATCTTACCTGTCATTGGCTAACCAGTCATCCTCCGGGGCCAAGTAGGGTGATGTGAGGTTCAGTTCTATCTCATTGGTAGCCTATGCCCCCAAGGCCTCCAGGCCCAGCACCTGCCTTGGGATCCCCTCGCCTGCTGATGGGGCCCCGGAACTGATCACATATCTCAGGGAACTCAGGTTTCTCCTCCAGGGAGGGCCCAGCTCACACGATTGGGCGAGAGGCAGATCCATGATACCAGCCACCACGAGGCTTCAAGCTCAGCATGAACAGAAAGCTCAGGCAACAGAGGTGGGGCACAACCCCCACCCTCTCCACACACACACATACACACACAAACACACACACCCAACCTTGCAGGGGCCTGAACCCTCACCCCTTCAGAGGGAGATCTCCTGCCCCCATGGCTGCTTTGCTTCCCATGCTCAGCTCAGATTGGGACACAGGAGACAGACAGAGACTTGACCCAGCTCAGATCAGGACCCAGGTAACAGACAGAGACTTGGCGGACAGCAGCTGCCCTATATCTAAATCCAGCCTAGCACCAGGAATGCTCAGGGCCTACTCAAGAATGCAAATAATCCTTTCCACTAATATTTACAGGGTAAACTAAGATTGTTGTTAGAGTATTAAATTTGACAGTAAAATAGTAATCAAATTATCAGATTAATTTAAATAGGCTAATTGAAATAATTGAATATTTGAGAAAACTTAATTGTACTGGACAAAAAGCTGTTCCTAAAGTAGTAACTAAAATTTCTATTGGTAGTTGATCTCATGGTAAAATTTCTGAACATGCAATGAACCTAAAGCAATCATATTTTTGTGCAAAAGATTAAAATTTAAAGTTATCAAGACTGCATTATAAAATTTATAAAAGCCTCCATTAATCAAAAAAAGGGGGGATAGTAGGGTAGTATCAGGTAAGGAAAAATATCCTATAAGTAAATTACATCTAGAAAATTTTTACTTTACAAAATTAATTTTCATTTGTAATGCTAACAGCAAAACACCCATGAAAAACACACATGGTATCTAAATAAGACAAAGGAAAATCCTTTGGGCAAAAATAAAAAGGAGACCAAATCAATTATATAGAAATGATTTTTTTATTAACTTTTGGTAGAGAATATGTTCGTATATTTTCAGAAAACAACTCCAAGACTAGGTGGATTCCTGCAACAGAGAGAAATTGACAGATTTGCTCCAACCACAAAGAGGAGAGGAGAAACAGACCAGAGATGAAAGACGCTGACGATGCCTTGCCATGGTGGCAGTCAGCAGCTGTGCATCTCTGCAGGATGCCCAGGACCAAACCAGAGGGGGTTGGATCTGCATTGCCACCATGTGCCCACCATCCAGATATCATAGCTGACATGTACACATAAGGAACTGTTGGACATTAAAATTGAGACTCAAATATTTGTTGTTATTATATGTTTATTTCTAGTCTGCAGAGGCAAGATTTTTTAAAGGAAAGAAATGGGAAAAAATAGATACAGAGGCAAAGAAGCATAAATTACAATGGGAAGGCAGGGAAGATTGGGGGGTGGTGGAGGGCTGTAAGAGATCAACCGAAGGACTTGTACTCATGCATATAAGCATAACCAATGGATACAAGACACTGGGTGGGGGAGGGGGGCAGGTTAGGGCATATACTGGGAGGTAGGAGAGACCAGGAGGAAGTCAATAGTGGGGAAAAAGGAGACATATGTACCACTATTTGTAATATTTCAAACAATAAAAGAAAGAAAAAAACCCAAAAAAACAAAATGCTACCTAGTAAAGTTCAGCAGCAACAGGCTATCTGGCAGCGTCACTGGAGGGCCTGTGATCCCAGGCTTCTGGCCTACCAGGCTTCTTGGTTAGGTGTGTTTTTGGTGGGACATAACCCACCTAAGAGGATAGTTTCTTACCCTCCTCACTGAAAATGGCTGATCTTCTGAACCAGTATAGCCAGCTCATAAAGTGAAATAAAGTAGCACATTCTCTCCATATATCATTTCCCACTATGATTTCTAAGAAGGGACCATGAAGATTCAGGGATCAGAAGGGATTTAGAAGCCATCAGACATGTGGTTTTTTGGACAGAAAGGAGCAGTGCTTCTAATGGGCTATTCCCAGGTAATTCGAACAGCCTTCTTTTCTGGTTGCCTGCCTAAAACCACAATCAACATTTCCTGCCATGAGGAGTTACTGTGAACTGCTGTGAACTCCTGCTTGCTTCCAGTTCCAATCAAAGTGAGCCCCTTTGAGGGACAAAAGGTGTTTGGGGCCAGCACAGGGGACTTCCAAACTCTTCTTCCCAGTAGGCATGCACCTCGATCCATCTTCTAGGGCCACAGTACATTAACTCATGCTGGCTCTATTGTTTCTTCTACCTGAGATGTGTACATCTGTGTCAGTGAGGCCCTTTTCTCCTCCTGGAATAGCTGGCAATACAGCCAGAAGGTTGTGGACCCAGCCTCTAAGGCTGTTCTCCAGGCTGGGCAAGACTCACTTCTACCCATCTATTGCCATTTTCTTCTCCTTTGTTACAGTTCCCAAGAGCAGCATCATGAGGGATTAGCTCTGTATTCCTGATGGGTCAACACAAATGGAGGGGGAGAGTGCTGGAAAAGCAACTAAGGAGGCTTCTTATAGCAAAGAGAAGAGTGTCAGTCAGGATTATTTTCTTCAATTTCTCGGGGATTTTTCCATTCTAAAGAAGGGTGATGTTAGCTCTCTCCAAGACTCTGTGTACGAAACTCGGGGACATTCACACATCTGTATGATGAGGCCTGGAGGCTGCAGACCCCACAGCACTGGCTTCCAGGTCAGCTGTGTCAAAGGCCAGTGCCCAGGAAGCCTGGAAGCAGCATTGGCAAGGAAGGATGCCAGGACCCAGGTTCACTCTGATTGGATAATCTCTAGAACATGCTTCTTTTCAAGAGAAAATACTGGGGTTTGGTTTTAAAGAGCAGCTTCTTACCACACTGGGTGCTTCATATTTTTCTCAAGTGATAACAGTTAATGGCTGAGTCAAGATAATAAAAAAAAGTGCAAGTGCACGCGCGCACACACACACACACACACACACTCTCGCCAAAAAAGTTGTCTTTAAACAACCTTGCACACATTCACACATACATTAGACATAAAATGACTTGCATGAATACCACCTATCTGAAAAAGGCAGGTGGTAGATTTGGACATGCATCCTGATGCACTACCAAGTCCAGTACCATGATTTAAGAAACACACTGTGTATTCCTTTTAAAATCTTTATTGTGCATAAAATGGCCCATTCCCCTTTGTAGCTCAGGTTTTACCTCTCATCAAAGGGTAAATTTTTTTCCTTTAAATTCTTTCCACTTCCTGTCTGACTGAAAATGTCTTCTTTTCGAAGGGATAAAGAATAATCTATTTTTGCTGGTCAAAAGAAGCTGGAGAATAACTCCTGAGGGCTAAGGCTCAAATATGCCATCTGAGCAGGGTTAGAACCTCCTATTCCTGTTGGCCAGCCCCACACAGTGACTGACTCGGGGTGGTAGTGCCTGCTGCTGCCCTAGGTGATGCTGAGTTTGGAGCCCACTGTGTGTGGCCTGATGTTTGGGGCTCACTCAACCTCAGGCGTTTTAAATGAATATATATCCTCTTCCCCCTGCCTTCAAGGGGACTTAACTCTTGAGAAGAAAAACCTGCCTGAGGCTGCACGCATTTCCAGAGCTGGAAAACATTTCATGAGGCATGTCACCAGGTACTGAATAAACTGCAAACTAGTGGTTATAAAATGGAAGCTTTGAAAAAAGTACTGTTGGGAGTGCAGTGCAAAGGAACATTTCATAGGCTTGTGGATTTTTAAGCTTCTCTGCAAAGTCTTCAGTCCCTATCTAGCAACTGAAGGAAGCAGTGTGCACTTTGGAAGGATGCAGTATTGGCTGGCAGCAAAGGCTGCTACAGTAAGCCCCTGCTACAGTAAGCCACTTAGAGAGGATCACTATGCCCACATCCCTTCCAGGCACTTCCTAAACTGCTTCCTTGGCCAAAACCGGTTTGACTCAGTGGATAGAGCATCGGCCTGTGGACTGAAGGGTCCCAGGTTTGATTCCAGTCAAGGGCATGTACCTTGGTTGCAGGCACATCCCCGGTAGGGGGTGTGCAGGAGGCAGCTGGTCAATGTTTCTCTCTCATCGATGTTTCTAGCTCTCTATCCCTCTCCCTTCCTCTCTGTAAAAAATCAATAAAATATATTTTAAAAATAAATAAAAATAAACTGCCTCCTTGTCCTGGAGTTAGCGGGAGCTACAATGGAGGGAGGCAGCTCTCCTGGGGCATGGTCAGGTATGGTGGCCTTTGAGAGGTGGAGGGTTAGGGAAAAGGCCACAAAGGCGATAAAGGTTCTGACCCAAGTCCAATTTTATTGGAAGTTGGGGTTTAAAGATGGACTCTAAACACCCTTCTCTCCCCCTTTTAAGAAAAGAGAATAAAAACAGAGACTCTGCCTGCCTCATCTGAAAACAAGAAGTGAAGTCAGAGCTGTGGTGGCTGCCAGCTGCACACTCCTAGATTTCCACAGGAGGAAGATGGCAGCTTCGGGACAAAGTGGAGAAGAAGACAGGTTCTTTGCTCCTTTATAGTGAGAACTAATGTTCAAGTTGAGGCACAGTGTGGTTTCCCATGGAAGTTCCAAGGTCAGCACGGATGCCCAATTTGTCCTGCCCTCAGGTGGCCTTTAAGAGTTGCCATGCCTCTGTTCTCTCTACATTGGCTCCTCTGCACAGGAGTTGGCTAGAACACCGTCCCAGTCTGGCCTGGCACTGGTGGGCCTCCTCCTTGGGCTCACCATAAGCTAATTCTGTGAGGGACAAGTGGTGATTCACCAGGTTTCCCCAGACAGTGGCTGAGCTAAAAGAAATAAGCAGTTTGGCTCAAGGAGAAAGTTACATGGTGCTTTATCATTCTTTGCCCCCCACCTGAAGATCCAGAAACTGTGGAGGTCTCGGCTGGAGCTGTTACCAGTTTGAAGAGACCAAACTAAACCCCAATACCTAAGACTAACCTGTGCATGTCTATCAAGTTGGATTTGAGGCTGGGCTGAGGGAATCCTAATCAGATGGATACAAGGTCCTACCAGGCACTGTCTCAGCCATCCTAGAAGAGGGCATACCCCCAATTTTGTATAATAAATGTGTTATGGGAGGTTAAAAAACCCTGGTACCAAAACTGAGAAAAAATGGGTTCTGCAGAGCCAATATTCCCACAGGAAGAGACAAGTGGCATCTGTGCTTGCTGGTCTGGCTTCAAACAGTGCTGACATGTCTCCTTGACAAGTAGGTGGTGTAGGCATAAAGTCTGGCGCTAGAGTGAGAACAAGGTATCAGGTGGAGGAGGAGGAAGATCCAGAAACAAAGTATAGGAGGGGACAGAAGAGCTGTGAGTGTGGGGACCGCATGAGGGACTCACTACTTTCTGATGTCAGTGGGGTCAGTAACTCTATAAAGAAGGTGATCTAATAAATAGATGTATGTAGTAAGAATGCAGGCAGGCTGGCATGGTTACCTCTGTCACTTTCACACCAGGTGCCAGGTGATCAGTGTTTTTAGTAAAGATATAAAAATGAATTTTTTTCAAGTATTAAAAAAATAAGTTAATTGAAAAAAGGAGTCTGAAGTGGGTGAGTGTCTTGTTAGATTATCAGCTTCATTTCAATGTGCAAATGCAGGAAAAACACCAAAGAGGGTTACTCCTGCCCCAGCTGAAGTTCTGAACAGTGACTGGGGCTTGAAATGTAAAGCCTCACCATCTCCCAAAGTCAATATTTTCCAGTGTTAAAATGGTTGTGAATTAAAAGCAAAATGCAGCAATATACAACCCTCAGGCCATAGACAGAGGGAGGCCTGGGGCATTTGGCCATGTGGAGTCCAGTGTGTGGTGTGGGGCTGGGGAGCAGACTCCTCCTGGATCCTCCTTACTTGCATAATGAACTCAGGAACTGGGATTCCCTCAGCTTCCAGGTGATGCAGGATAGGCATCACCCTGACTGGCCACAGCCTCTCCCACTCTTAGTTCACATGTGGTTTTCCTGGGAATCTCCTTTGTTTCTTTGGTGGTTCTTCAGGGAGCATGAAGACAGTTGCTGCTTCCTCTCTGTGGGGTGCAATCTGGTGGCTGTGGTTTTGACAGAGGGGGAGCAGCTTCCTTCTCTCATCACACATGCCTGCACAAGGGAGGGGGGGGGGATGCTGGTTACTGCGCATCCCTGGGGAACTTTCTTTTCCCCACATTAATTCTCTGCACTCCATGGCCTTCGCTCCTTGCACCAGGAAGTCAGGGTGAATCTATTCAAGGAGGCAGAAACACTTCAGATACTCATCTTCACTTGGTATTCCCCACAGCACAGACACTTGATCTGCTTTTTAAGAGGCATGGACATTTGAGTGCAAACTCACAGGAGCAGCTAGGCCTTCTCAGATCTTGGATCTAGGTGGTGTAGAAGAGCCCAGCTAGATCAGGTGGATTCTACAGATCAGCTAGTAGAGCATGATGGAAGCTCAGGACCAGTTTAGGCTGAAGCCCTTTGACAGCATGACAGCCTCCAAGTCCTTGTCTTCCTCTTTCTCTCGAAGGCGCTGTTCCTCTAGTAAGGCCACAAGGGCATCTCTCTGCTCCACCACCTCCAGCATCTCATTCAGGATCTTCTTCTCCTCTGACAATTCCTCTTCGGTCTTAAGGTGATCTGGACAGTAGCAAAAGACAGATCTGTAGGGCCAAGAGGCTACACCCAGCCTACCCATGTACAGCTTAGCCTTGTTCCCCTCTTACCTTCCATTGCCATTCGCTCCCGCAGTTCCTGCTGCAGTCGGCTCTGCCGGTCTTCCAGTTCCAGCTCCCGGGCGCTGGGAAGGTAGGAAAGGGAAAGGAGACAAGAAATAGTGACTTGGGGACCATATCTCTTTACCCCCTAAATTAGGAAGGAACTGTGCTCCTGCCATGATAGGCACTGAGCTCACAGCTGGGTCCACTCACAAGATCATCAGCTCTGACTCATAGCGCACCATGGCATTCTTCTCTTGCACCAGCCTGAACCACTCCTGCATCAGCTTGGGGTCATCCTTCTTGCCCATGCCTGCAGAAAGAGGGAGAGTCAGGCACATAAAGGGTTTGCTGTCTACTTGGCTAGCAGGAGTCATCATCACACTGGGGCAAATGTGCAAAGAGAGCAGAGCGAGATGCTGCAGGAACATTCCCAAGCCAGGTTGTGTTTGCCTGCTTCCCAAAAGGGGGCGCCATGCCCACCCCCAGGGCCTAATTGAGCCTGTACTTTGAGTTTGTCCTTCCCAGGGCCGCCCTCACCTCTCAGTAACCTGGTCACTACTAGTTTGGACCTCTCCTGCTCAGTGTTTTTTCTTTGGTATATTTTAAGTGCTTTGCCCTCTTTTTCCTTTTCCTTTTCTTCCCCTTTCTTCCCTTCCTTCCCTTTCTTCCCTTTCTTCCCTTCCTTCCCTTCCTTCCCTTCCTTCCCTTCCTTCCTTTCCTTCCTTCCTTCCTTCCTTCCTTCCTTCCTTCCTTCCTTCCTTCCTTCCTTCCTTCCTTCCTTCCATTTACTATTTACTTGGTACTTGCTAAGCACTAGGCCTGCTTTGAAGAAACTAGCCTAATGACGGAGGTAAATGTGAAGTTATATGCCACACTTGGTTTCTTTTTAAGTCACACTCACTAACTCAGCTCTTTCTGGGCACTGACCCCTTGGGGCCTCATCATTTCTTTTATCCTGACCAAATACTCTTCCATTGGATGCTATATGGTACATGAGATACATCCCAGGAAGGCTAGCACATTTCTTACTGAGGGCAAAAAAACAATAGCAGACCCTAAAGACTAAATGAGGTGGTACACTCACTCAACCCAACCACAGCAGCACTGTCTGGACTGGCACCTGCCTAACTCAGGCTGCCCTGCACCATGGCATTGCTGAGACCTAGACCTCCACCAGGAGTATCCTGACCCTGCTGGGCTTCATTGTAGTAGGAGGATGGACAAAAGAACTTTCCAAGGAATCAAACTATCCAAAGAGGGAAAAAACCTTTTCTTTGAAGCATAAAGAAGCTATAGTGTGGTCCTGCCTGAAGGCAAATGACAAACTATATTAGTGGTTCTTCAATGTTTTTTTAATTACAAACCATTTCGAGAATCTCAGGAAAGCTCGAGACTCCCTTCCTAGAAAAAAAATGCATGCATATACACCCAACAATTTAATTTCATAAAGAATTTCAGGGTGTTCATGGAATTCCTTAAATCCATCCATGGGCCCCAGGTGAAGAGGCACTGTCCTGGAAAGTCTTTCAAAGTGCTTTCCATTTTATGAGTAACTTGGTTGGATGTTCTATCCCAGTAAAGACTAGACCTAGAAACATATGGAGTACACCCTCAGCTGGGATGACCTCATGTATCAAACTCCTTACTCTCTGCTTTCGTACATTCTTCACACCTGACTTTTTTGCATGTTGTTCAAGGACAACTCTCTCTCTGCAATGCTGTTTGCTTGACACACATGAGGTCCAAGCCAGTTAGTCTTTCAATGGGGCCACACACTGGAGAGGCAGAAATGAATCACGTTCATACAAGCAGGGGTTAATGAATGCACTGTGTGGTGCACATGCAGCTGGGCTCCCAAGGTGAAGTCTTGTCCCTGAGTCCTACTCTGAAGGATGGAAGCTCCCTTCTGACTATCAAGCCTGCTACTGTGGAGTGTGTGTCGGAGTGTCTGGGGACCAAAGCTCTTCTCACCCAACCCAATAGACTTGGCTCTTTGGCTGTTAAAGCAGCCTACAGATCAGTTCCATGCATTCCTTTCTGAGTGTCTCTGCACAGTGTGCCCACATGACCATGGACGATGGAGCCTGATGCATGCAAGCTATCCAGTGTGGCAAGCTGTAGATGCACTAGGAAGCCACTTCCTCCTTCCCACCTCCCCAAAATCCCACAGGGAAACCTCCAAACACCATTCATGAGTTTTGGTAGATTGTTCACAGCCAATAAGCAAAAGTACATGGTGGGGTGGGTGAAAGTCAAATGTGAGCACCATGGAGAGCACAGGAAGAGATTAGCAAGGGTTAGTCATGAACACACTCCCCTTCCCCTTCCCACATGCCTTTTCAACAACAATCTTATCACCACAAAAGACTTCAAATCAGACAAACTTAAAAAAAAAAATTATCACACACACTCAGCAAGACACAGGGTAGAGAAGTTTGCTTTCAGTAGTTGTTTGGGAAAAAAACTGAGGGGCATTTGTATAGACCAGTCTTTGTAAGGACAGTATTCCTCGACTCTACCAATACAAATCGTTGCCACACAGGCAGGAGGTTCCTCACCTGTGAACCTGTCCCCTCTATCTGCTGGACTTGAGACTAAAAGGCCCAACCACAAATGGTGGTGCAATATCATGAACTCTCTGCCGCTGCTGAGACATCTACCTCGGAGGCTCTCTGGCTTTACTCCATGCCCCATTTCTCCCCTGAGACAGTCAAAGGGATACTGTACCTTGTAAGAAACTGCCACATACTCATGAAGTTTTGTAACAGGGCTATCAAGTGTCAGAGAAAGAAAGACAGCTGGGTGTGGCTCCCTCTTTAACTAATATTACTATGGCCTGAGAGGCAGTGGGATGAGGTTGGGAGTTACGTTACCTTCCTGGACACAGCAAGGGCAGAAGGAGAGAGGTCTACGCCGTGGAGTCCCGCCACTGGGCTCAACTTCAAGAAGGACCAAACAAAGAAGAGGAGGAGGAGACAGAGAAAGACAAAAAGAAGAGGAGGAGTAGTTTGGAAGTGAAGAGGGACAGGAAGACAGTGAAATAAAAAAATAAGCAAAGGACAAAAAGAATAAAAACGAGAAAGGAACAAAAGGAGGAAAAGAAAAAAACAAAACAAGAAATAGAAAGGCAGAAAAAAGGGAAACAATGTCTACAAATGAATTAAGTCCCTTTTTTGGCATGGAAACTCAGTAGAGAGACCCAGGCCTGGGTGACCACCATCAGCAACTGTTTAGCACCCATTCACTTTGACCACTGGGGGCAGGTGACAGGTGAATTGAAGAGCAGCAGAATACTGTCATATAGTAAGGTATGTTTCATCATATTCTAGTGATGCATGCAATAATCAAGGATAGTGCTTTATCACTTCAAAACACTCTCACACATGTTATTTCATTGATCCATACATTGGTGGCCACCTGAATGACTATTAGTATTTCTATTTTCAAATGGGTGATATGAAGATCAAAGAAGTTAAATGTGGCACAACCTGACTAAAATCTGGATTTTCCTTTCCCATGCTGAACTAAGTTTGCCCTCTTAAAAGGGGCAACAAAGGCTCTAGGTCAGTGGTTCTCAACCTTTCTAATGCCGTGACCCTTTAATACAGTTCCTCATGTTGGACCCCCAACCATAAAATTATTTTTGTTGCTATTTCATAACTGCAATTTTAATGAATTAATGAATCATAATGTAAATATGTCAATGAATCATAATATAAATATCTGTGTTTTCTGATGGTCTTAGGCAATCCTGCTAGTGGTTCTCAACCTGTGGGTCATGGCATTAGAAAGGTTGAGAATCACTGCTCTAGGTAAATCTAACAATAGGTAGCTACCGGAAACTGAGTCATACACAGATCCTATTCATAATGCCAGGCCTGGAAAAGAGTGGTACTGTCACCCTGTCCTCCAGTTATAGAGGCCAGTGAAGCTCGGACCTGACTTAAGATCTTGCCTTTCTAAGTTAGGGGTGCTCTCCACACTACCACTTTGCCTCTGACCCACGAGCCACCTCACTCTAAGTCCTGCCTCTTCTGTGGAGCAGTTGGCAGTTGGAAAAAGCAAACAATCTTATGGCAACTCCCCCTTCTCTATACTTATCTGTCTATATTCCCATCTTCCTCTTACTTTCTCATGAAGGCTTTGTCTAAAACACTTCACCTCAAAGTACTGCACCCTCCTCTCCTACCCTATTAGTTAATTGAGTGAAATGTTAGCCTACCTGAAAAACACCAAACTAACTGGCTGGCCTCAGGATCCTGAGTGTAGATGATCATCTGTGATGTACACAAACCCAACATGACTTAAGTCCTTTTGGTTGTCAAAATCCCCTGAGACTGAGAGGCAAAGGTCTGGCAGTTTTCTCACAAGGAGAGGTGAGGATGGTAGGAAGTACGGAGGCGCTAAAGGATTGACTGAGTTCCCACAGACAGAGATGAAGTCTGGAAGGATATCTCAGCTATGGGAGGTTCCCACTGAGAACTTTGGGGTCTTAAACCCCAAGCTGGGCTCCCCAGCTCAGAGCATCAGAACTAAGAAAGGTGCCCACATAACATCTGGCTGTGAAAAGTAGCAGGGTTTCTGTCTTAAGGGACCAAAACAAAATTTTGTGTGCCACCACTCACCTGGGGATCTGGTAGAGGGAGGGCAGAGTGGACTGGAGCTGAGTGAGCAAGCTAGGATTGGGAGCTCTGGAGTTGGAGCTTGGAGGGCAGCCACCCTGGTTTCCTGTGCTGAGTAATTTCCTCATGCTCGGGGGAAGTTTTTCTCTGGTGGTGGAATTTTGTTATCCAAGCAGTTTTGACTGAGGGGGAAGGCAGTAGCCCCCCTGTTAGAGAACCTCTTGCTCTACACTGTGGTCAATAGCCTGAGTCTAATCAAGTCTAAGAGTCAACTGAACTTGAGGCAGAGGCAGGTCTCAGGAGGTTTTAAGTCTTTTCCTCATCTAATCGTGGGCCCAGGGCTATGAAAAGTAGACATTGGTGCACATCTTGGTCCTTTCCAAAGGCATCCTGCCGCAGCAGAGAGAGTCACAAGCTGTGGATTGCAGACAAGGTACTCAGTGCCAAACAAGGTACTCAGGGCCAGTCACAAAAAAGGGTTTGACATTGCCTAGGCTGGTTTGGCTCAGTGGATAGAGGGTTGTCAGCCTGAGGACCAAAGTGTTCAAGGTTTGATTCCAGTCAATGGCACGTACCTTGGTTGTAGGCTCCTCCTTAGGATGAGGAGGCAACCAATTGAAGTGTTTCTCTCATCAATATTTCTATTTTTCCCTCTCTATTCCACTCTCTCTAAAAATCAATGGAAAAATATCCTTGAGTGAGGCTAAAAAAAAGTGTCTGGCATTGTCCTGCCCTAGATATTGAGAGTTATAGCAGATCTACTTAATACACTGACACAAATCCTAACTGACAGAGAAAAGTGGAGACAAAACAAAAACAAAAACAAAAACAAACAAACAAATCCTAAATGAAAGAACAAAAGAATTCTCCAGAAGAAGAGCTAAATAAAATGGAGTTAAGAAATTTATCAGGCATAGAGTTCAGAATAATGATGGTAAAGATGCTCAACAGCATGAGAAAATATATAGTAACTATGAAGAAAGACACAGCATAAATAAAGAACTAAGTGGAAAGAATATACAGAAGATTAAGGGAAGCTGAGGATCGCATCAGTGAATTAAAAGATAGGGCAGAAAAAAATCACTTAGAGGACCAAAAAGAAAAAGCAATTAAAAAACAGGAGGACAGCTTAAGGGAACTGTGGGACAACATGAAACATGACAATATTCACATAATAAGTATGCCAAAAGGTGAAGAAAATGAGCAAGGGATAGAGAACATGTTTGAATAAATAATGGCAGAAAACTACCCAAACCTGGTGAAGGAGAAAGTTTAGGAGGCACAGAGAGTCCCAAATAAGAAGAACACAAACAAGTCCATGCACAGACACATAATAATTAAAATGGCTCAGTGGTTGAGCATTGATCTATGAACCAGGAAGTCATGGTTTGATTCCTGGGCGGGGCACATGCCTAGGTTGTGGGCTTGATCCCGTGAGGTGTGTGTAGGAGGCAGCTGATTGATGATTCAATTTCATCATTAATGTTTCTATCTCTCTCTCCCTCTTCCTACCTCTCTGAAATCAATAAAAATAATTTAAAAATGCCAAAAACTAAAGACAAAGAGAGAATCTTAAAGGCAGCATGATAAAAGCAAACTGTTACCTACAAAGGAGCTCCCATAAGGCTGACACCTGATTTCTTATCAGAAACTCTACAGACCAGAAGGGAATGGAATGAAATATTCAAGATAATGAAAGCAAAGATCTGAAAACAAGATTACTACACCCAGCAAGGCTAGCATTCAAAATAGAAGGTGAAATAAAGAGCTTCCCATACAAAAAAGAGGCTAAAAGGAGTTTATCACCACCAAACCAGGATTGTAAGAAATGCTAAAGGGACTGCTGTAATTAGAAGTACAGAGAGAAACATAGGTATACAGAATTAAAATTGAAATAAATAAGTACAATAATAATACTGTACCATCAACAATAATCTTTAATATAAATGGTTTAAATGCTCCAATCAAAAGACATAAAGTAGCTAAATAGATTTAAAAAAAAACATGACCCAATTATATGCTATCTACAAGAGACCCACCTAAGAACAAAACAATCACACAGGATGACAATGAAGAGATGGAAAAAAATGTTTCCATGAAAATAGAAATAAAATAAAAAAGCTGGAGTAGCAATAATCATATCTGGCAAAATAGACTTCAAAATGAAGGCCATCACAAGAGACAACAAAGGTCACTATATAATACTAAAGGGAATGATCCAACAAGAGGATATAACCGTGGTAAACATATATGTACCCAATATAGGAGCACCTAAATATATAAAAAACATTTTCATGGTATTTTAAAGGAGAGATAGAAAACAATACAGCTATAGTAGGGGACTTTAACACCATACTGACTTCACTGGATAGATCTTTGATCTTAACAGGGAAATAGTGAACCTAAAGGACACACTGGATCAGATGGATTTAATTGACAATTATAGAACATTACACCCCAAAGCTGAAGAATATACATTCTTCTCAAGTGTACATGGGTCATTCTCAAAGATAGACCATATATTAGGACAAAAAACAAGTCTCTACAAGTTCGATAAGATTGCAATCATATCAAGCATCTTCTCAGATCATAGTGCAATGAAATTAGAAATCAACTACAGTAAAAACACTCAAACACATGGAGGCTAAATAGCATGTTATTAAACAATGAATGGGTTACCAAGGAAATCAAGAAAAACATCAAACACTTCCTGGAAACAAATGAAAATGAACACACAACCCCAAATGTATGGGACACAGCAAAACCAGGCCTGAGAGGGAGATTCACAGCACTACAGGCCTTCCTCAAAAAACAAACAAACAGACTTACAGCCAAGATGGGGGTGTAGGTAAACACATAAACTGCTGCCTCACACAACAATTTCAAAACTACAATGAAAAGACAAAATGTCTATCACGTAGAACCATTGGAAAGCTGTCTGAATGGAAGTTCTATAACTAGGAGGAAAGAGAAAAGGTCATTCAATGCACAAGCTCTGAAGAGCTGAGGTATGGGGGCGTGTGCGAACCGGGCTGGCAGCGGGCATTGCTTTCTTCAATCTGAAGTATAATAAAACAAGCTCCTGATTTTTCTGAAATCCAGTTTTTGGGGAGACATGGAGCGACCCAAACTCCTATGGGGAGAAGCTGGACTGTCTGCTATTGGGTCGGAAAGTGAGCGTGGCTTGCTTACTGAGCTGTGTGCAGGAATAACTGTTTGCTGTGCTGGAGTGTGGGACATGGGAATGCGGTTGGAGGAGCAGGGACAGCTGGCTGGCAGCCATCACTGTTTGCCAGGCCCTAGCCTGGTGAAGGCCT